CCGGCCCCCCCCTCCCCCGCCGCCCCCGCCTCCCCGAGCTCCCCAGAGAGCCCTGCCGGCGCGCCTGACGTGGACCATTAAACTTGGAGCTGCCGCCTCGTCCTCTCTCCTCCTCCCTGTGACAGGCGAGCGAGCGGCTCGGTGCAGGCAGGAGCCGTGCTGCCGGGCTGGGCTGCCCGGGGGAGATGACTTCTCGCCAGGAGGGCGCCTCTGGGAAGAAGACCACGGAGGAAGCAAAGTTTCAGGGCAGCTGAGGAGCCTTCGCCGCAGCCCTTCCGAGCCCAATCACCCCCCTGGCTATGGAGGGCGGACTCTAAAATGAATCCCCATCTGGACAGCGGCCACAACACATCAGCACCTGCCCACTGGGGAGAGTTGAAAAATGCCAACTTCACTGGCCCCAACCAGACCTCGAGCAACTCCACACTGCCCCAGCTGGACATCACCAGGGCCATCTCTGTGGGCCTGGTCCTGGGCACCTTCATCCTCTTTGCCATCGTGGGTAACATCCTCGTCATCTTGTCTGTGGCCTGCAACCGGCACCTGCGGACGCCCACCAACTACTTCATCGTCAACCTGGCCATCGCCGACCTGCTGCTGAGCTTCACCGTCCTGCCGTTCTCCGCTGCCCTGGAGGTGCTCGGCTACTGGGTGCTGGGGCGGATCTTCTGTGACATCTGGGCGGCCGTGGACGTCCTGTGCTGCACGGCCTCCATTCTGAGCCTGTGCGCCATCTCCATCGATCGCTACATCGGGGTCCGCTACTCTCTGCAGTACCCCACGCTGGTCACCCGGAGGAAGGCCATCTTGGCGCTCTTAAGTGTCTGGGTGTTGTCCACAGTCATCTCCATTGGGCCTCTCCTTGGGTGGAAGGAGCCTGCACCCAACGATGACAAAGAATGTGGGGTCACGGAAGAACCCTTCTACGCCCTGTTCTCCTCCCTGGGCTCCTTCTACATCCCTTTGGCGGTCATTCTGGTCATGTACTGCCGCGTCTACATCGTTGCCAAGAGGACCACCAAGAACCTGGAGGCGGGTGTCATGAAGGAGATGTCCAACTCCAAGGAGTTGACCCTGAGAATCCACTCCAAGAACTTTCATGAGGACACCCTCAGCAGTACCAAGGCCAAGGGCCACAACCCCCGGAGTTCCATAGCTGTCAAACTTTTTAAGTTCTCCAGGGAAAAGAAAGCAGCCAAGACCTTGGGCATTGTGGTCGGTATGTTCATCTTGTGTTGGCTCCCCTTCTTCATTGCTCTACCACTTGGTAAGTTGGGGACTGGCAGAGGGAAACTGGGCTTGTTCAGATCTTGGCTTTCCTGATCTGCTGACTCTAAAGTTTTTCGTGGGTTTGATTGTGTGTGTATGTGTGTGTGTGTGTATGTGTGTGTGTGTGTATGTGTGTGTGTGTGTATGTGTGTGTGTGTGTATGTGTGTGTGTGTGTATGTGTGTGTGTGTGTATGTGTGTGTGTGTGTATGTGTGTGTGTGTGTATGTGTGTGTGTGTGTATGTGTGTGTGTGTGTATGTGTGTGTGTGTGTATGTGTGTGTGTGTGTATGTGTGTGTGTGTGTATGTGTGTGTGTGTGTATGTGTGTGTGTGTGTATGTGTGTGTGTGTTTATAATCTGTGTGTTGGGATAATATGGTTTGTTCTGCAAAGGCTTTGCAGATTGGGCAGCTGGCTGAGAACCAACTCAGGTGTCAGTGGAACAGGCTGAGGTACTAGCTACTTGAAATAGAACCACGGGAGGAAAATTTGGTATCTGGAATGACTCACTCAACAGCCTCGGTTTAATAATTAAAAAGGACACTGGCTTGAACATCACACCAGCATTATTTCAGTAGTAATGATGTGTCGGCTAAGACAGCGTCACAAATGCAGCATACAAAATAGTTTGTAGTTACTGCAGACACGGCGCTTGGGAAGCAGGGAGGCAGCTCGTCCACAGAAAGGCAGTGTTCATTCAGCATTTCCAGGGTTCTTGCAGAGACCACGCTTCTCAAGAGCTTTGCAGAGCCCGCATCTCCCTCCTCCCTACACCACTGGCTGTCACCTCAGTGCACTGCCTTCTTTATGGGTGAATAAGAGCATTTCACAGCCACCCAGGCTGTAAGTTATATGCAGCTTGAGAATGGAAAGAGAAGATGCCCAGAGTCACACATTCTCAGTCTTTACCCAGAAATGGTCCTCACTCCTGGTGTATGGAATGGCCAGAACTGAATCATAGCTGTCCCTCACCTTCAGCTGTGACAGACATCAATGCAATTCAACGCATCCTTCCCCTCTTCTGAAAACGTGTCCGTCTTCTTTTGTTTGATGGTCCTACTGACCGAAGTGTTCTCAAGGCTACCTGGTTTCTTCTAAGAAAGAAGTCAAGGTCTGAGTAGGAGGTAAATCGAGAGGAGGGTACTGTGACCTGCTGCCCACATGGCTTGGAAAACCCTTGTCCCTTCTCTGAGGTGCTGATCTGCTTTGATGTCTTCTCATATCCCTGGGGACACTACAGAAAAATGAATGGAGGGAGGCAGTCCTTATGACTGTGCCATGATGTCAGGAGAGGTAACAGCTGCTACACACCACTGGCTACATACACCTGCAATCACACCAGAACTGAATATAACCAGAGCCCTCAGGCAACCAAAACTCTGAAGATACACTGCTTTCAAGAAAAAAAAATGTGAATGGAAAGAAGGCAAACTATTATCAAGAGTTACCTTTAAAACTGAAAGAAAAAGATAAAGAAGAAAAGCAGTTTAACCTACTCCATCTTCTTTTCTAAAGCAGGCTTGCAGGCTAATGCCTTTCAGAAGTATTTGCAGTGGTATTAAGTAGAAAGGGTTTGAAGTTCTACTCCCCAGTCCCCCCAGGAGTGATCACATCTTACTGCAGAGAAGCTAGCTGTTCCTGCTCAAGGTCTAAGGGTCCTTTTGCAGGCTCATTAGGTTAACAGTGGAAGATGGTTTACACTGCCTTGGGATGTTACAGAGATTATGGTGGTATGTGGAGGTGATTTGGCCTCTTGTTAGCTTCACAACCTTGGGCAAATGACTGCACCTGTTGTGAGCCTCAGTTTCCTCATCTATAAAATGGGACTAATTACTATTTGCTCCATGGGGTGTGCACGAATGCATGGAAAGGACTTAGAACAGTATCTGGTACTGAGCAAATACTCACTGAGAGTTAACTCTGAGTGCTGTAAACCAAACTCCAATCGCCCCTCAGGCGCCCGTTGTGTTTTCTCCTCCTCTCATCATCTGCCTGTCTCACACCTGTTACTAAAGGCTCAGACAGAGGACAGGGTCTTTCTTCTTTCTCCCTTCTGTCCCTGCCCTCCAGCCTGCAGAGGCTGTGACCAGAACACACTTCTCCTTGGGAAGGAGAAGTCTGATGCAGGAGAGAGGGGCTCAGGATGCAGGCTGTTGAGGGGCCGAGGAAAGAGGTCCAAAGAGGTGAGGAGGCTCACAGTGTGTTGAAATGGAAAGAGCATTGCTCTCACAGGAGGCAGAGAGTTCCCGTTTGAGCTCCACTAGCAGTCAGTTCTGTGACCGTGGGTTTGTTGCTTACCTCTCGGGGCCTCCTATCCTGTGTTTGGAGCAGAACAGAGCAGACGACAAGGCAACTCCAACTTAAATTAGTATCAGAATCACCTGCAAAACTTAATAAAAAATGTAGATGCCTGGGCTCTACCCACAGAGAATATGGCTCAGGAATCAGATGGATCCCAGGAGTCTGCATGTTTAATCGGCCCAACAGGTGATTCTGAGGAGCTGGTCCATAGACTAGGCTTTAAGAATCACTGGCCATAGGCCTCTCATATCCCTTTAGTCTCCAGCATCCTGTGCCAAGGTTTTGAATGCTACAAAGCTGAGATGTCCCGGGCCTCTCCGTGGCGAGGGTTGGTGTGGCTCTCTGGTCCTGCTCTCCAAGTCAGTAAGTCTGCCCTCGGTTCCTTCTCACTCATATGATTCCCCACCCTTTCTCTCCTTTCTGCTCATGGGAGAAACTGTATCCCCCAATGGGGTCCTGTCATGCCCGATCCTTTTCCCTCCAATTCAACATTCTATCAGTATCGGGGCACGTGTGCACATGACCTGATGCCAGTGGAGCTGGGACTCAAACCCCAGTTAGTCATGTAGGACCCAGCTCATCCTGCACAGCACCTAACTGCTGTGCTATGGGGCCAGCAGCCCCTGACCATGCTCTTCTGAGACCTCATCCTCATAGCATCTCAGGTCCTATATTTCCATATAATCACAAGTGAGAAGTTCTTGCCATCCTGATGCTCTCAGAGCTTGCCTCTGCTCTTCTAGCAATGAGAACTTTTCTCTCATTTGTTCATGATCTCCCAAAGATCTCCCAAAGAGCAGCACCTGAGCTAACTCCATCCACATCCTTCTCTGGAACTTCGACAGAGAAGGTAAGGCATGTGGACTCCAGGCCATGGGTTTGGGACTGTCTTGATTTGAGATGAACTTCAAACGGTACTCAAGAAGCCTCAAACAGAGCAGCTACTTAAATAATGTTGTTTAGATAGTTTAGAAGGAGCATCCCAGCAAAACAGAGATGTGGATTTCTACATCCTCTGAGTCGAGAGAACACCCAAATAAAAGTAGCGTGATGTAGAACAATCACTCCTTTGGAATCTGAAGAAGGTTCCAAATTCTAAATTTTCCATGAAGGGTTTTTTACTCTGGAGAAAGATGGTGCTTGGCCAAACAGAGAAGGGCACAGTGGAGTGACTTCCAGGGGGTGATAGACTGTCAGGTGCCTGGATGGCATGAGATCTCCATAGCTGTGTTTTTTTTCTCCATGGGAGAAAAGGACTAGGATTCCTCCTGGGAAGAAGGGAAAATAGCCATGCTCCCTACAGATCCTGCTCGGGGCTCATTTGTTTTCCTTCTTCCCTTATTTTTATTTTTAGGAGCAGGGTTGGGCTCTCTGTAGAGCAGGGCCTCTTGTCTCCTGCTGTGCCCTCCCACCTGTAATACTGTCCCTACCTCCTCCCCACCTTTTCCCTATGGCCTCACACCAAGTTGGATCAGGGACCACTGCTCACTTACTCAGGAGCAAGGATGGACTCCTCTAAACAAGAATCTCTTTATTTGGCCCCTGGAGTTAGGCCAGAGAGGGACAGGAAATTATTGGGATGGAATATAGCAGTATTTCTGCTCCATGGGCCATGCACAAGATGTCCAAGAACATCTTCAGTATACTAAAGACCAACACCCACCTCCCTGGGGAAGGCCTGGTCAGAAGCTCAGAAAGTCACTGAGCTATTGAAGGATGTGTATTGCAGTGACTGAGGGCAGTTGGGGGGGGTGGGGTGTTAGCAGGAAATGCAGGGAAGCCAACTAGTAGCTAGGCTTAGTGAGTTGTTTAGAAAATACTGGAACCTTGCCTTGCTCCAAATCTTTCTTCCGTCTTTTAAAATGCTGAAAGGCACCAGGAAGCCATTATTGAACTAACTGCTTTCCCCTCCAAATAAATGAAGGTCAATTTCAAAGAAACAGTTGTGCTCTCTATGGCACTGGAACCAAATAGGAATCTCTCTCCCCATTGATTTGATTCTCTAGCCCTCTCATTCTAATTGAGGCTGATGAATTTCCACCCCTACAAGCACCAGGAAGGGCGAGGGTCTCAGAGATGACTCAGGATAAAGCCACGCCCACAAATATACATGTTAATCCTCCAGTTCTGAGGTCTCAAAACACAAAGATTTATGTTGCCCACAGGGAAAGAAACTGGTTTGAGTACTTGGAGAAGGAGAAATTTTTATCCATGGGAGACCTTTCCTTAAAAAGAGAAATCCTCCTGAAGTAAAATACATTTGACCATTTAGTAAATCACTAAAGAGGACTTCTAAAGTATCTACTATGTGCCAGGCACTGTACTGAGATGCTAAGTCTAAAACAAACATGGAGCCAGCCCGCGGCATGGTGGTTAAGGAGACTAGATTGCACACGGCTGACAGAGTGGTTCAAGTCCAGACCCGGCGACCTGAGAAACTTGCCAGGTGTGCGTGCATGAGTGTCCAAAATCCTGACGGGAGGAAGAGATGGAGAAGAGACTCAGGTGTGACTATCCCCCCTGAGGAGCGCTTTCTCACTTTCTCTCTCTATCTCTATCTTTTTCTGGGAAGGGCAAGTACCTGCTGGCAACTTTTTTTTAAATGGCCCCTGCCTGCAGAAGCGTTTGGCCAAGTGTGATCATGTCATTATTGAACACATACTACGTACCAAACGTTGTGATAAGGTTCCCGCAACAG